CAGGCCCGGCCAGCTGCGCCCTCGTCCCTCACTCCCCACTCTGCCGGAGCCTGCGTCCTCATCTTGTGACACCACATCGCCACCTAAGGTTTCACTAGAACAAAAAGCCGATGGCTAAAAACCTCCTGAAAATCACTGCTCTCAGCCACCACTTTGACTTTACAGATGAGGAAACTGACTCAGAACCATGGGGGGAGCTCTGGGCTCCATGAGCTGACTGGGACCCCACATCCTGGCCCCGATCTTCCTAGGACCTGGTGGTTGCTTCTGGGAGCCTCAGTTTCCCCATGTACAATAGAGATGGCCTGCCCACCGTGTCACATTGTGAGGGCTGAATGAAGTGACGCGGGTTCTCCGAGGCTGTGCTACTCCCTGCACGTGTGCGTGTTTGCTTGGTTGATCTCAGAGCACGAGGTGGGAGGTTCTCAGAGAACAGTAATTGTTCCTTGAAATCACAGAGAGCTGAGCATAAGAACTGGGAATCGCGCCACCACAGTCAGAGGTGTTCAAAGCCTGAGAAGCTGACTAGAGGGCCCGGGGTCGGCAGGGAGATTACGAGTTGGCTGGTGTCTCCTGCCTCAGACCTACTCGGGTATTTGTGGAGGTGCCGGGTGGAGCCCTGGAACCCTATCATCCATCCAGGTCAAAGCCCCAAGTGAGAGGGGAAGACGCACAGAGCTGGGGCTGAGGGGCGGCCTGGCAGGAGGGACCCGGGTGGAGAGCCAGGTGCTTCCACCCTCACCAGCCCCCAGCCCCGGGCTGGCCCTGCTCGACACCCTGGCCTGAACTTTGGTGCCACCTACGTCACCGGTGCAGCCAGGCTCCCGCTCGTCTCTGGAGGACGGCCCGACCTCTAACCCTCGTCAGGGCCATGAGGGCAAGGCCAGCTGCCAGAACCTGGCCGGGCCACCCCTGTTGCCCATGAGCAGCGAGGCCTTGTTCATATCTGGCTGCTCCGAGGCAGCCTCCAAGCCCCACCGAGGAGCTCAGCTGTGCGGATTCCGGGTGAGGCCCCACGTGTCACCTGACATTCGCAGGCATAGCACGCCTCGCCGAGCGCCGAGCTCTTCTCACGCAGCAGCCGCTCCTTGACTCTCCCATCAGACCTGTGAGGTTGCCGTTTCCCTATTCCACGGTGCAGGAAGCTGACACTGTTGTCATCGGGGGTGTGGCCACTGTCACACAGCCAGTTGCAGCTGAGCCAGCCCAGTGGCCCTGTGGCATCTCTGCTCAGCCGGCCTGAGCAGGGGATAGGAAAGGCAGACAGAGTCCCTAAAGGCAGGAGCAGAGTGCCTGCGGCCTCCAGAGACAAGCACTGTCCTCAGGGCCCTGGGCTGTAAAGGGGCTCCGCAAGGTGCTGGGGACGGACAGCCTCTTTGGGGACTGCTGAGGCCGCCGGGGACACAGCCTGCCCCACTCCTGTGCACGTTGCCTTTGCTACAAGCGTGAGGCCTTCCTGCCACCCTGACCCCGCCCCAGCCGCATGGGCACATCTCACCCCAGGTCCCTGTTCCACATTTTCTTTGCCACCTGGTGCCATTTAACAAGAGAAATGGCATCACATTCTCCAGCAAGGACCTGGGAGGCGTCCAAGTGCTGGGGGAACTCGACATGTCACTGCTGCCAGCTCCCTGCCGAGCTTGGCAGGGTCTAGAACTGAGAGGCCGCCTCAGGGTGGGGGCTGGCCTACCCCTGCCTCACAGCAGAGCTGAGTGACATGTGGGTGGCGGTCAGGTGCCCTCAGACCTGCTGTCCCCAGAAGGCTAGGGACAGATGCACAGGGAGTGTTTGCTTCACGCCACCCGGAGGCCCATGGCAGGGTCCTGGAGGAGTCTGAGGGAGACAACGGGACCGTCTCTATGCCATGTGTGCTTGGAATTGTGCCTGGGGCTCTGGTGGGCGGGAGGCAGGAGGCTGGTGTGGCTTCGTTGTGACAGCCTGGCCTTAGGGAGGTCACCCGCCCTCTTGTGTAGAACGGGTCTCAATGACTGGAGGCGGGTTTTCCTTTTCTTGGTTTTTTGAGACACGGTCTTGCTGTGTAGTTCAGACTGGCCTCGAACTCATAGCAAGCCACCTGCCTCAGCCTCCCCAGTGCTGGGAGGCATGTACTAACATCCCCAGCTCAGAAGCAGTTTTCCAGGGTGGGCAAGGACCCTGGGTCACAGATCTGAGTAGGTGGCAGCGTGACGGTCCCATAGGAGATGCTTCCTCTGCTGGGCCTGGAAGCTGCTAGGTCCCTGTTTTCACGAGTTTAGACGAGCAGGTTTTGGGTCATTTAGTCTGGGTAAGGTGAGCATGCAGGCCTTGCTCAAAGTCACAGATTCGTTTGTCCCCGTTAAGCCACCTCATGGCAGTGAGCCCCTGGGCCTGCCCCTGGGAACTCCCTTTCTCCGCAGAAGGGGCCCCAGTCTGGTAGCTGGGAATCTGCTGTTCCCTGGGGGGGGAGGCAGAGGCCTGCACCTGGCCACAGAGGAAGTGGTGCTGGGAAGGGAGCTGGCCCAGGAGGTGTACTGTGACCTGGGCCAGTCACTTCCCTCTGAGCCCCACCTGCTGCACCTCTTGGGTTCCCACGAGGCTGAGAAACGAAACAGCCAGACCTTGTGCCTGTCCCATGCCCACTCCCGGTCAGTGGCCTGCAAGGCTGGCTGGGCCAGGGTTACGGGGAGCCCTCCGCAACCCTGAAACAGCCCACAGCACCTGCCCAGCACACACAGGCTGCGGGGCTGCTGGCGGGGCTCCTGCACTCGGGGACCTGGTTGGAAGGTGCCAGCTGGTGTAGCCCCTCCCCTCCAACCTCCCCAGGGCCAGTGCAGCCTGCTGTGGAAGAGGTAAAGGGAGACAAAGAAGCCTCTCAGAGCCCTACCTCAGTGACTCGGCCAGGCCCGGGTGCTGCTGAGGACCAGCGCAGGGAGGGGTCGTGAGTGGCCCACCCTGTACTCCCACCTGCCCAGGACCTACCTCCCACTTAGGACAGGAGGTGAGGGGCACAGCACCCCTACTCTCTCTGAAGGGCCAGAGGTTCCAGGGCTGGGCGGGCCCCACTCCCCGCACTGTCTAGACACAGACCCAGGGAGGACTCCAGGTAGGGGACTGACTGGCTGGTCCCCTTCCTAGTGAAGCAGGAATGTCTGCATAGCCCTGTTCCTGGTCGTTGTGCAGTGCTTATGCCCTGGGGACAGCTCACGGCTCGCACTGCCCTCTCTTTCTCTTCCAGGGTTGACCTCTCTGACTCCCATGTAAATGCGACCCCTAAATTACTGCCATCCTTCCTGTTTCTTCCCCACCTCTCCACCCCACATGTCTCATCCCTTGTCTGCTAAGTCCTTTGTCTCTGCTTCCCTGCTGCTGCTCAGAACGTAACTGCCCGGTGGTGCATAGTAGGTGCTCACTTAGCATTTGGTGGGTACTGAGATTTCTGCCCATAAGAGGCCCAGAGCCAGTGGCTTCTCCCTACTGTGTCCTTTGTGAAGCCCGAGGACAGCCCTGTGGAGGTTCCTGCTCCCACCTCCATCCTGCCACCTGGCCTCATCCTCCTCCAGCCAGGACACCTGCTGCATGGTCCCCAGGAGGCAGGGACCCCACCCCACAGGGCTGTGGGGCCAGACTCACATGGAGGGTCCCGTGTCCCCTTCCCCAGAGTGGTGCTCTGAGAATGGGTAGGGCTGCGCACCTGGGAACCCTGTAGAGGGCCAGAGTGTCTGTGTGTGTGTGTACGCGTGTGTGTGTGTGCGCGCGCGTGTGTGTGTGTGTACGCGTGTGTGCACGCACATCTGAATGTGTGCAGGAAGAGAGGATATGGGGTAGGCGACCCAGACAGAAACTGCACGGAACGGTGTGACCTGCCCCTGCCCACCGTGGTCCGAGGGGACAGAGGCCAGGGTCTCCTGCTCAAGCCTCCCCACCGCTCCAAGTGCGAGTCCCACGGCAGTGTCCTTGTTTGTCAGAGCTCAACACAGGAGCAGGGCGAGGGGAGCCTCTGCAGCAGGGATCAGAGGGGTCCCCAGGGATGACCCATGCTGCAACACCAAGCCCACCTTCATCGCGGTCTCCCCGTGCCTTCTGCAGATTATAAAGGCACAAAGCAGCCGGGAATGAACGGCTGCAGCGGAGGCTCCCTGGGGACTGCAGGGCGCCTCCCCTTCCTCCCCGACTTCTCTGTTCTGGGCTTTCATGAGAACGTGCTCAGGCATTACTGGCGTAATTATGACTAAAGCTAATTTTGACATTTGGAGCACATCCCGGGCCTCAGCGCAGTTTCACATCCAGTCAAGGGGGCTGGGCCTCTGCCCCCAGGGACTGTACCTCCAACCTGGGCTCGTCCCTGAGGCACAGAGTGGCCCCACTTCCCCCTCCCTGTCCTCAAACGTGAGAGGCACAGGCCCCGCTTCACAGACCCAAACCAGGCCCCCTCGTATCTGCTGCGTCATCCTGGGAAGACCCAGTGCCCCTCAAAGCCTATTTCCTCATCTGAGGTCATTTTGGGGGAATTTGAGGGGGCAAAGATGAAAGGCGATATCCTCCTCAACAGACCCCAGTTGAACATCTTGTTAAAAACAAAAAGTATTCACCACCTGCCTCGAGTTCAATCCCCGTACCAAAAAAAAAAGTACTCAGTGAATGAAAAGAACACAGAAGATTCAAGTCAAGGGTCTTTCAGCAATAAAGTGCGACTTTCTACTAACAAATACACTGAGGCCCTGGTATCAGTATTTGAAGTACAAGCTTTTAAAGGGCTGGGCATGGTGCTTTCCTGTGGTCCCAGCTCCTCCAGAGCCTGAGGCAGGGAGATCCCTTGAGCCCAGGAGTTCCATTTAACAGTTCTTTAACAGAACAAAGAAATTTTGCTACCTGATTTTAGAAACTAACTTTTCTCCCCTGGTCAAAGTGGCACAGAAGAGCTGGCGCCTGGGGGTTGGTGGGCACGTGGAGGGCTTAGGAGAGTGGTATGGGGTAGCACACACCCAGTGAGGGCATAGAAACACCTCCCACATACTTCTCCCTACAGATGGAGGCATCTGGCTGTATCGAAGTTGTATCCTTTACAATAAGCAGTTAGGGCCAGGGATTTAGCTCAGTGGCCCTGCACCTTCCTCAAAAGCAAAAGGTCATGAGTTCGATCCCTGGTGCCACACACACAAATATATATATACACACAACAGGCAGTTTTTGTCTAAGACTCAAATGAAGAAAGTAATAAACCTTCCTACAGCGGTGGCACATACCTGTGATCCCATCTTCTCAGGAGGCTGAGGAAGTATTCCAAGTTCAAGGCCAACCAGGACAACATGGTGAGACCCTGTCTCAAAATTAAAAATAAAAAGGGCTGGGGATGTAGCTCAGTGGTAGAACATTTGACTAGCATGGGTTCAATCCCTAGTACTGAAAAAAAAATTAGTAAAAGATTTAAGACAAGCCCTATGGCATATGCTGCTAATTCCAGTACTCAGGAGGTGGAGGTAGAAAGATCTCGAGTTCTAGGCCAGCTTGGACCTAGCCTAGCAAGACCCTGTCTCAAAAAGGAAGGACAGGGCTGCGGATTTGGCTCAGTGGTTCCACCACCTGCCTCACAAGCGCAAGGGCCCGAGTTCCATCCCCCGTACCAAAAAAAAAAAAAAATTTTTTTTTTAAAGCAGAGGATTGGAGCTATGAAAAAGAATACATTGAGGTGTGACCTAACATTTCCCACACTGGTGAAATTTCTTAACCACCAAGTCATCCAAGCTGATTCAAGACCTGCCATGGCCTCTGCCCTGCTCCCCACTTAGGAGGCCCAAGTGAAGAAGTTTGGGGTCAGCCGACATGAATCCCATGGGCATCTTGCTGTGCCCGGCTCTGGCATCGCAGGTGCCCAGTAACTGTGCTGGGGGATCAGTCTGTCCCTCCCTGTCCACGGTGAGCGGCAGTGAGTTACAGCTCCCCTCTGTCTTGGGCCTGAGGGGCTGGAGGAGGCCAACAGCCAGCAATTGTCATCCCACTGTGGGATGAGGCCCCGTGTGGCTGGCAACCTTGGTGTAGCTCAGGAAGTACAGACTCCCCTCTCCTGGGACAGGTCTCCCGCTTCTGGGTTCCCTCAAGCCATGTCCAACTCAAGGGCCAAGAGGACACCTGCTCTGTAGGGCTCGGACCCTAAGGAGTACAGCGAGCAGCAGTGAGAGGAGTAGGTGTGGGTAGAGGCTTGTGGCCCAGCCCTCTGTCCCAGAAGGGTCCCTGCCCTGGCTCCCCTGCCTCTCCCCCACCCCCTCACACCCACACCCACCTCCCACCACTTCTCCTTTGCAGCCACTCTACCGCCTACACCTTCCTGCCAGAGTCGATCACCCATGGGCAGGGGATGGGGAGGCAGCGCCCAGGGCCCTCAGGGGGTCTGTAGGAGTCCTTGATCTCTGGAGCCAGAACCCCCCAGGTCAGGTGCCACATCGCCCTGCCTGGACCCCAGAGCCCAGCTCCTCCCTGCTCTATCTCCACCTTGTGCCCTCCAACAGGGTCCTGAGCTGGTCCCTCCATCTGCAGCCTGGGTACTGACCACGCACTCACACCGCCACCCCAGGTCCCAACACCACTGCCCTTGCCTGGTGGGCCCATGTGCCTGCCCTGGCCAGCTGCTGTGGGTGTCCCTCGTCCATAAGCTCCCAACCAACCCCCAGACAGTCCCTTCCTCTGCTCTGTGCTCCCAACCCTGAGTGCTCGGGGGTCTGTATGGTCCCCAACTGCTGCCCTGAGGAAGGGACAGCCTGTGTCCCAAGGCCAAGGGGGATTGTATGAGAGACATGGCAGGGGTTGAGGAGCAGGGACACACACAGCCTGGGGACAGGATGTCAGCCGGGACATAGGTTCCTTGCTGCTCTGTGGATCTGATAACCTCACAGGACGCTCCTGCCCCAAGCACTTCGTGGCTCCTTAGGGCCCTTGAGCTGGAGTCCAGGCAGCCTGACACTCAGTCCTGGTCCCAGAGCTCTCCTGTTTGGGCCCCAGGGCTTTCATCGGTTCTCAACCTCACCCATCACACTCCCCGCAACCTGGCTCATCTGCAACTCCTGGTCACCTCCTCTCTCTGGGGACTACACAGGAAACCTGGGGGTCCCGTGCCATCGTGGGCTCCCGGCTGCTTGCTCCCACTGCTGCCAGAGGGGATGGGGAAGGAGGGCAAGGGACCAAGGAGGAGGACGAGGGAGATCAGGCTGGGGCAGGTGGAGGCACTGTCTGCCTCCCCGCTCTGTGGCCAGGACCAGTGCAGGGGATGCTCTGGGCCAGCCAGGCCGTCACCTAGGAGCGGTGGTGGTGTCGTCATTTGTGGTGGATGGTACTCAGTGCCTTTGTACCGAGCTGCATCCCCGGCCCTTTTTAATATATTTTTTTTAATTTTGAGACTGGATCTCACTAAATCATTCTATTGCCCAGGTTGGGCTCAAACTTGGAATCTTTCTGCTTCAGCCTCCCAAAGTGCTGAGACTGGTCCACCACACCCAGTTTGGAGATGTTTTCTGTTTCTGTTTGGTTTTCCTTTTTGTGTTTGAGATATCTGATGTCCTGAACCAGCTCAGTCTGGAGAGGGTGGAGAAGGAGGTGGCGGGAAGCCCTGGGCCATGAGCGGCCCCAGTGATGCAGAGCAGAGCCCACCCAAAGGTCTGTGTCCTGCTGAGATCAGGCCCAGTCTGACCCTGAGTGCATCCTGGTGCCCCGCGGAGGGCCGCCCAGCTGGCGTCTGGGGTGACGGCTGAGCGGATGGATGGGGGAACCACAAGTGAAAGAGAAGGTCTGGGGCACAGGGCCTGGTGGGGCTGGTCCTACCCAGCGGTCCCACCCAGCGGACAGGGCGGGGCCTCGGGCTTCCTCCCCAGGGCCTCGGGACTCGGAACCCAGTCCCAGCTGTGCAGTGGCCCCTCAGCACCATGGGACCAGGGGCAAGGAGGCTGAAGGGCATGAGTGGCCCGGGGCCCATGCGCTGTATCCAGGCCCAGTGCTTCGACCAGCTGATCCGCCATTGCGTGGCCTGCAACCTCCTCCGCACACCAGAGCCCAGAGCTGGTAAGAAAGGGACTGCTACGCTGCCCGGACAGCCCTGGGGGAGGAGGTCCTGCCGTAGGGCCCCCGCTGTGTCAACCTGGCCAGGCCCTGGGGTGATGGCTGAGGACCAGTGGTCACCACGTGCTCTCACGGCCCCCTCTCCCCTGTCCTGTCCACCCCGCCCCCTGTCCCTCCTGCCCACCCAGCT